GGATTTATGTGTCTATATTCATCAGTGATATAAAGAGACAATCTTGAAAACAGCAAGAGAGAAGTGCATGACCACATAGAAAAGATACTCAGTTAGATAATCACCAAAAGTCTCATCAGAAATTTGGAGGCCAGAAGGCAATGGACTGATATACTCAAATTGCTAAAACAAACAAACAAAAACAAACAAACAAACAAACAAAAAACACCTGCACCCAAGATTCCTATATCTGGGGAAATTGTCCTTTAAGAGTGAGGAATAAATTAAAGCATTCCCAGATAAACAAAAGTTGAGGGAGTTTGTTACCCCTAGACGCCCTATAAAAAATGTTCAAGGGAAAACGAAAGGATACTTGACAGTAACTTGAAGCTGTAGGGAGAAATAAAGATCTCAATAAATGTAAATATGTGGGCAATTATATTATTCTAACAATGAATTTTTACTCCACTTTTTATTTTCTGCATGATTTAAAAGACTAATGCATTGAAAGAAAAGAATTATTAGTGCAAAAATTAGTATCATTGTAACTTTGGTTTGTAACTCCAAATCTTGTTTTCTACATAATTTAAGAGACTAATGCACTTAAAAGAATTACTAGTTTATGTTTGGGGTACACAATGTGTAAAGATATAATTTTGTGATATCAATAACTGAAAGAGGTGGAGATGGAGCTGTGAAGGAGCACAGTTTTTTGGGGGGGGCAGGGAGAGATAATTCGATTTATTTATTTTATTTTGTTTTTTAATAGAGATACTCGGGATTGAACCCAGGACCTTGTGAATGCTAAGTATGCACTCTACCACTGAGTTATACCTTCCCCTCAAGGAACACAGTTTTTGTATGTTATTAAAGCTGGGCTACTATAATTTCAAGTTAAGGTGACTATACCTCTAGGATGTTAAATGTAATCCATATGGTAATCACAAAGAAAATTGCTATGAAATATATATGAAAGAAATTTACAAGTTTTATTACCAAAAAATCAACTAAATACAAAAGAAGAATGCAGGAAATGAAGGACAAAAGTTATAAGTTATAAAAAACTAACAGCAAAATGACAGAAATCTCTCCTTATGAGTAATTACTTTAAATATAAATGAATTAAATCCCCCAATCAGAGGGAGATTGGTAGTATGGATAAAAACATATGATCCAACTTTATGCTGTCTACAAGAGACTCACTTTAGATCAAGATAAGGAGGAGGGATCTTCCTTCCAGTGCCCACCCCCGACTTTGGGTAGAGGAGTCACATTCATTTCAGTAGATCTTTATCAAAACATAAATGCAGTCTCCAATCTCCAATTTCTGTCCGTTTTATATGTTCACCAAAGTTAAGGAGTTTAAAAGTCAAGAACTGGTTTTTGGCCACCTCTGAAAATTTGTATCATAGCCTAGCGTGTGTTATATTTTATTTTAGAGTTCAGTCAAATCTTCCTTTTTAGTGTCCTGATATTGTATCTTTAAAATGAAAAAAAAAGTGAAAGATTTTAATTTTATCTAGAGTAATGTGAATTTAAAATACACAATTATAATTCTTATTCTTTTAAAAATATTTTCTCAGTTTAAAAAATACAGTTTTTTAGTGGAAATTCTTTATCGGTGACCTAAAATATATATATATATTTTAATTTAGGTGATATGGAGAAACATTTTGCTTGTGCTAGCCAAGGGTTCCCCAAAAAGAATGAAATAATCAAGTTGTATCTTTCTTCTGATGACTTGGTAAGGCCCACTAATAGCATGTGTTACAACCTCTCATATTCCTTTCAAGTCCATGTGTGAAACCAGTAGCACTGTTACACTTTTCAAATACCTCCTATTTTCAGACTTGAGGAGGTGAAATTCAATATAAATAACAATCCATTCTATCATTTCTATTTCATTCCTCTTGGATCAGGTAAAATATTTTATTTAGCTATTGAACACCCTGGATGGTTTGCATTTTTTTTAATGACTACTTTCCTCTTTTTAAAGATTGGCTGTAATATCTTCATTTTTTATAGATCTCATTTGTCCATTTGAAGTTTGACAGATGTAGCCTGTTAGAGAAAGAACGTTACCTCACATGACCTTGAGAAAAAAATCTTTCCCTTTTATAACAAGTACCACATTGCAGTGGTCATTTTGGGTAAGGGATGATTTGATTTCTTTGATTCAAAACATGGCAGATTAAAAAAAAACACAGCAAAATAAAATGTGCTGTTAAAATAGTCATGCAACAAATGCTAACAAAAATATAAGTTAATAAAAATTGCACAGATTGTCTAAAAATCTATGATAAATATAACAAAAACAAAGAAAAACACCATGAGGACAAATAGACTTATCTTAAAGTCTGCTTTGACTTAGTTCCCAGTTCCATCTTGATATGTCAAACATATATTTAGTTTTTTATTTACAGCTATTGTGAAGTGCATGCCCTTTGAGTCAAATGTGTCTTTCTTATTTGTGATTAAGTATTGTGGAAAAGAATGGGCTTTAGAGGAAGAAAGACCTACAGAGCTGGGGTCAAATTTTGGTTCTGCCATATATGGTAAATGCACCCTAGGGCAGGTTACCTAACTTCTCTGATCCTCAGTTTTGTCCTTTTCAAAGGGAATTATAACCTACTTTTTGGATAATTGTGATGTGGTAGTTCTAGAGGAGGTATTAGTGGAAATGATAGCTAACATTTATAAACTGTTATTGCGTGTCAGGCATCTTTCAAGGTGGTTTATGTTCATTATGACATTTAATCTTCTGTAAGATAAGGACTGTAGGGGAGTACTGAAACTACCCTCTTAGGTTCAGTGGCTGGGGCCTGTAAAATAAACTAAGAAAAGACAGATTAAACAGGAGATAAAAACAGAGTTTATTTACACATGCGATGCGCATACCCATGGGAGAAATCAATGATGAGTAACTCAAAGGGGTGGTTAGAATTTGGAGCTTATATACCATCTTAACAAAGTGCAGTAAATTGTGGAGAAGTGATAAGACAAAAGAAAAGGTTTGGGGCTTATCTCCCTGCGAATCCCCATTAAAATGTAAGTTCCAACAGGTCAGAGATTTTTGCCTGTTTTGTTTACTTGTGTTTCCTCAGCACCTACAAGACTGCCTGATTCATGGTAAGGGCTCAGTAAATATCTTTGAAATGAATGTGTTTCCCCACTTTATAGATAGGGAAACTGAAATTCAGATAGGTAACCTGCCTAAAGTGATCTTAACTACTAGGAAAACTAAATGAGATAAAGGTCTTATTTTCTGTATTGGTTTTCAGGAAAATCCACCATTTATGATTGCTGTATTTTTCATATGCCTTCTCAAAACTGGGAAATAGTCAATAAAATGCAGTAAATTGAGTTTTGCTTTATATATTTGCTTCTTTTTTATTTAGACACAAAATAATAATTTTAATAAAATAGGAATTTCTACATATAATAACATGTGGCTTTGATTCTGTATTTATTAAGTGTAATAACTTTATGACCATTTCTATGACAGAAAAGATTATTATAGGATGAATTGAAACCCATGGTGACACTAGCATAATAGGCTATTGAGTTCTGAAAGTGTACTTCTCAAAATAGATTTTTTTTCAAGTTAAAGACTGAAATTACTAAAGACAGCAATCTTAGCAGCATCTACTTTTCATAGATTTCACCTCACTTTTAAATTTATATAAAATATGCTTCTCTCTATCAAATTGTAACTACTTTTTTTCCTCTTTCCTAAAGAAAATCCAGTGTTTTTTCCAATCTGAAAACGAGCTTACTTCAAAGGAATTTCTTAACTTGTTCACAGCAGAAGGACTTGCTCCCAGCTTGGGAATCACAAATAGTACATATATGGGCATCTTTCACTTCAATTTAACTTTGGTAATTACATTTTATATTATTCTGTGATATGTTACTAACAAGAATACTCTTCCTTTTAGTATGTGTTTTTAAAAATAGCTCATCCAGTAATATTACATCTGTATTTGGTTTACATTCAATAATACATTGGTATACTTCTTACTTTAAGCAGTCATTTTTTTTAAAGAAATTAAGAGAAGAAAAGAAAAATAACATGGATTTTTACTATTTATTCACATATTTACTATTTCCACTGCTCTTCATTCTTTTCTATAAATATAAGTTGCCATCTGGTAGTCATATCCCTTCAGCATGAAGAACTTTTAGCATTTCTTACACTGCAGGTCTGCTGGAAATTAATTCTCTGGGAGTTTTTTCCCTTTGAATATGTCTTTATTTCACCTTTATTCTTTTGGTGACAACTTTGTTAAGATATAATTTACATACCATACAATTTGCCCATTTAAAGTGTACAATTAAATGGTTTTTTAGTATATTCATACAGTGTGCCACCATCACTACTATCTAATATTAAAACACTTTCATCACCCCCCAAAAATAGCCCATACCCCCTGACAGTCACTCCCCATTCCATCCTCTACTCCTCAGTCCTGAGCAACCTCTAATCTACTTTCTGTCCCTATAGATTTGCTTATTCTGAACATTTCGCATAAATGAAATCATATAATTTGCAGTCTTTTGTAACTGGCTTCTTTCAGCTAGCATAATGTTTTCAGTGTTTCACAGTGTTCATCCATGTGAATAGCATGTATCAGTACTTTAATTCTTTTTATTGCCAAATAATATTCCATTGTATTGATACCATATTTTGTTTATCAATTCATCAGTTGATGGACATTTGAGTTGTTTCCACTTTTTGGCTCTTGAATAATGCTACTATGAACTTTTGTGTACAACTTTTTGTGTGGAAATACATTTTTAAATTTTTCTTGTGTATATACCTAGGAAGTGGAATTGCTAAGTCGTATGGTAACTCTGTATCTAACTTTTAGAGGAACTGCCAGACTGTTGTCCAAAATGGTTGTACCCTTTCTCATTCCCAGTATCAGCGTGTTAGGGTTCAAATTTCCACATTCTCACCAACACTTGTTATTATCTGTTTTTTTTTTTAATTTTTTATTGTTATAGCCATCCCAGTAGGTATAAAATGCTATCTCACTATGTTTTGATTTGCATTTTCCTGATGATTAATAATGTTGAGCATCTTTTCATGTGTTTATTGGCCATTTGAATATCTTCTTTGTGGAGGTGTCTATATAGATTCTTTGACCATTTTTAATTTTTTTTTATTGATTGTAAAAGTTCTTTATATATTCTCAAGTCTCTTAACAGACATATGATTTGCAAATATTTTCTTCCATTCTATGGGTTGATTTTTCACTTTCATGATAGTGTCTTTTGATGCCCCCAGTTTTTTTTGATGAAGTCCAATGTATCTTTTTTTTCTTCTGTTGCTATTCTTTTTGGTGCCATACATAGGAAACCATTGCCTAATCCAAGGTTATACAGATTTATCCCTATGTTTTCTTCTCAGAGGTTCATAGTTAAACCTTTTACATTTAGGTCTTTGATCCACTTTGAGTTCATTTTTGTGTGTGGTGTGGAGTGGCGGGGGTCCACATTCATTATTTTACACGTGGTTATCCAGCTATTCTAGCACCATTTGTTGAAAATACTATTACTCTTTCCTACTGAACTGTTTTGGCACTTTTGTTGAAAATCAATCAATTCTTAATGTGAGGATTATTTCTGGATTCTCAAATCTATTACATTGATCTGTACATCTACCCTGTGACATTGCCATGTTGTTTTGATACTGCTACTTTATAGTAAGTTTTGAAATTGAGAAGCATGAGCCCTCCAACTTTATTCTTATTTTTCAAGAGTGTTTTTGCTAGTTTCCATATTAATTTCACTAGTTTCCATAAAAATTTTAGGATAACCTTGTCATTTTTTTTTTTACAAAGAAACTAGCTGCATTCTGGTAGGGATTGTGTTAAATCTGTAGATCAGTTTGGAGAGTTTGCCATTGTAATAATCTTTCAATCCATGAATATTCATTTAGATATTCTTTAATTTCTTTCAATACTATTTTATAGTTTTCAGAGTATATGTTTTATACTTTCATTAAATTTATCTCTAACATTTTATTCTTTTTTGATTCCTTTGTCAAGAGAATTGCTTTCTTAATCTTATTTCCAGATTGTTCTTTGCAAGTGTATAAAAAACAGTTTTCTATAGTAAGCTTGTATCCTGAAACCTTGCTGAACTCATTTATAAATTTTAGTAGTTTTTTAGTGGTCACCTTAATTTTGAATGATTGTTTTGGCAGATATAGAATTTCTCGGTGATTTAATTTCCTTTCAGCCTTTTAAATATGTCATTCTGCATTTTGAATATGTCACCTAACATCATTGTTTCTGAATGAGAAGTCAGCTGTTAACTTTATTATTGGCCCCTGCATGTAATGTGTCCTTTTTCTCTGGGTGCTTTCAAGATATTCTCTTTGTATTTACCCTGATTGGGATTCTCTGAGCTACTTTGATTGTAACAAAACCAAATTTGGAAAGTCTTCAGCCACTATTTATCAAAAAAATATATATTCTGCCTCTTTCTCTGTCTATTTTCCTGCCTAGGACTCCAATTATGCACATTTTGGAATATATGATATTGACCCACAGATCTCTACAGCTTTTATTTTTTCTTTAATCATTTTTCTCCTTTTTCAGATTGAATAATTTCTATTGTTATATGTCTAAGTTCACTTATTCTTTCTCTTGCCATCTCCAATCTATTGAACTCATTTGTAAATATTTTATTTCAGTTATACTTTTCAGCCTTATTATTTACATTTGGTTTTATTGTTATACTTTTTATTTCGGTACTGGATTTTCTACCTATTCCCTCATTAACACGTTTTTCCTTAAATCTATCTACATATTTCTAATAGCTGCTTTGAAGTCTTCATCTGTATCTGAACTCATTCTGAGTCAGTTTATGGTCTGTCTTTTCTCTCCTGAATATCTGTTACATGTTCCTGTTTCTTTTTATGTCTTGTCATTTTTGGTTAAAAACTGAACATTGAAAATAGTAAGCTGTAACAACCCTGGATTCTGCTATGTTCTTACAAGAATTTGCTGCTGTTTTTGTTGGTGGTGGTCTAAAAGGCTATTAGTTGCCTTGACACAAATTGCACATGATCTTACATATGGACAGCTGTTAGTTCTGCTTAGTTCTTTTAGCTTCTACTGCTGATCTTTTTTAACATGGCCTTCTAGGGGTCTCCCCTGCACTTGTGTTGCCCAAGGATTTGAGAAGAGCTTATATTTAACTCTTAGATCATCATTTTTGCAGTTCCCTTGCTCCTGGAATTTTCCTCCTAAATTCCTAAATTGTCTGTCAACACCAAGCTCTGTCTTCTGACACATCAAGCTAGTAATGCCATAAATGCTTTAGCTTTGTGCCACCAGAGAACAGCTGATATTCCATTTTGTGACTATATTCTTCCACATAAATCATGAATACTTTAGTTATTTCCAATCTTTTGCTATCACAAATAATGATAAAAATATTCTTGAACATATTTCATTTCACACATATGTGAGTAAAATGTAGTTTAATAAATTCCCAAGAGTGAAATTACTAGGTGAAAGATATATGCATTGGATGTTTTTGTTTAGTTTTAGTTTTTAAAATACAGGATAGAGTATGCTGAAATAAATGTTGCTATTAACATGGTAAAATACTGTTTTCTGATGTCTTCTTTACTCAAGTTCAGTGACCAGGTTTATTGGTCGATTAATATTCCGAGAGAAAACATCACAAAAAATACAGGTAAGAGAGATCTGAATTAATTCTTTTACTCATGCATCTGGATTGCCAAATTTACCAAATTGAAAAAACATTTATTATGTTAAAAATCAATTGTCATCCCATGTAAGTGTCTCCTATGGTATTTGGGACATACTAAAACTTATTTGTGATTCATCCGAAATTCAAATTTAACTAGGCTTCCTGTATTTTATCTGGCAATTATATTATAGATGGTTCTGACATATATAGCATTTATAGTATTTTTATTTAAAGTAAACTCATGTTCTAGAACTTGAAAATTATAGTATTGAGAAATTCAGTTACCAATTAATTTTAATGAAATGGAATCATTACTTTTAAAATGTTATAGGCTATAATATGTAATGTATTATTTTACCATGGAATCTACTATTAAGTGCTATGTGGCAGCCCAGTTTATATGCTACTTGAATATTCAGAAGGAAAGAGGAGGAAAATCGAATTCCAGAAGTTGTGAGTATTGAGCTAGTGAACTAAGCTAGTAGATCTTCAGGCACAAGACACATTCCCATAGTTTAAATATGAGAAAGGGTACATTATTTCAATATGGTAGGTGCAAGAAACAGAAACCATCCTGACTTCACTTAAGGAAAAAGGCTAAATTTGTTTTTGTCATGGAACTCAAACACAAAAACGCAACCAGATTATAGGAAGGAATTAGAAGGGAGAAATGGAGAACCATTAAGAACCCAGGGAATATTTTCACCGTTTCTCTTATATATATTTTCTGTAAATCTGTATTTTTTTTTCTTGCAGACTAGTTTCCTAAAGCTACCTCACTGCTGTCATATATATATATATATATATATATATATATATATATAGGGGACCAACCCAATGCCAAATTCCCAGGAGAGTATCTTCAATTGGCCTGGAGTTGATCCAGCATCCACTTGTGTGCCAATAAAATATGGCAGGGAATGAGGAATTGGGACAGTGGGAGGGGAGAGCCATACAGGCCAACCCCTCTAGGTATGGGAGTAGTTAAAGGACATATCAAATTGTGTGTCCTACAAAGTAAAGGTTGGGGGGAAGTGAGAGTGAGGCAGAAAATATAGAAAAGACTGCAAAAGAAGCCCCAGTGTTATAACAGCTGACACGGATTATATCACTATTTTTATCCATTATTCATCTCAATTTTTTCAAATTAATCTATCAGAACTTTTTGTGATTCTTTTTTCAAGAAATTCATCCTGAAAATTTTACTTCTTCAAAAAAAAATCTAACCTAACTGTCATCAGTCTAATGATGGATTGTTCTAGCTGCTTGGCCTAATACTGACATTAGTTTGACAACTGAAGAAGTGAAGATCACTTGTTATTTTTCACTTTTTCTATTTACAAACTTTAATTTCAGAAAAACATTGATTCTCAAGTTACCCAGACAGGAACAAAGCTGGTCTGAGAGCTTAAGCATTTTATGAAAAGAGATCAAATGATCTGTGCTTGTCTTTATACATTTCCTTGGATTGAGTAAAAAGAAATATATTTTAACTTGTAATATTAAAAAAAGAGGGTGGTCTAATATTAGTAATATGCTAGAAATCAGGAAAGAAAATGTTCAAGGGAAAGGCAATCAGATTTTCTCACTCACTTTTCCCTCCTTAATTGTATCTTATTTGCCTCCTTGCCATGAATTTGAGTATCATGTATCTGTAAAATTCTTGGGAAGGATATTTTAGGTAACATAACAACAAAGGTAGCAATATAATCACCAGTAGTAGTAGAACTTGCAGGTAGCATTTATTGGATTCTTATTGTATTTCTAGCATAACTCTAAACACTTTACCTATCTTAATTCATTTATTACTCACTATGTGTTAGGTACTGTTATTATCTCCATCTTTAAATGATTTAACTGAGGCCTATGGAGCCATATGGAGATTTGGAGATAGCTAGAAAGTAGTGAAGGCAGTTTGAAGTTTGAACTACATAAAACTAGAATTGAAAAAAGAGTCCCTTCTTGATTTATATGTCACAATTTGTTCTTTTTTTTTCACTTTAAAATAAAATATAATTTACATTCAGTAAAATATACCCTTTTTAGTGCCTATATCCATACGTTTTCACAGATGTATACAATTGTGTAATCACCAGTCAAGATTTAGCGCAGTCCCATTATCCAATAAAATTAACCCACCTGTAGTCAACTCTCTGTCTCCCAGGCTCCAGCAACCACAGATTTTTCTGTTTCTATTATTTTGTCTATTCCAGAGTCATATAAATGGAATCAATGAATATGTATGTAGTCTTTTGAGTCTGGCTACTTTCACTTACCATAATTCATTTGAGATTCATCTGTGTTGTAGTTTCTTCCATTTTCTTATTGGGTAGTATTCCACTGTATGGATGTACCATAGTTAATTTTGTTGCAGGGCATTTGGATTTTTTAGTTTTTGACAATTATGAAAAAAGCTGCTATAAGCATTCTGATAAAGATTCTTGTGTGAACATAAATTTTCATTGCACTTGGCTAATACCGGGTGGTAGGATTACTGTGTTACATGGTAAGTGTAAATTTAACTTTATAAGAAGTTGTCAAACTGTTTTCTAAAGTAGCTGTATCATTTTGCATTCTCACCACCAGGTTATCTGGATCCATACCAGCACTTGGTATAAGTGTGTGTATATGTTTGTATATATGTATATATACATACACACACACATATATATATTTATACATATATGTATATTTTTACAGTATGTATATGTATACATATAAATATTTCTTGATATGTATAAATACATGTACTTAATTTAGTCATTCTAATAGGTGCATAATGGCATTTAATTATGGTTTTAATTCACATTTCCCTAATAACTAATGACAATGAGCATCTTTTTTGGTGCTTATTTGCCATTTGGTGAATTTTCAAATATTTTGCAAGTTCGTTATATATTCTGGATACAACTCCTTCATCAGGTATGTGATTTACAGATATTTTCTCCCAGTCTATGGCTTGTATTTTTCATCTCTTAAGAATATCCCTTGCAGATCAGAGTTTTCAATTCTGATGAAGTCTTATTTATCAGTTTTTAATTTTATGGATTGTACATTTGGCATTATACCTAAGAAATCTTTGCTTAACCCAAGCTTACAAAAAAATTCTCCTCCCTTTACTTCTAGAAGTTTATTGTTCTAGGTTTTATATTTATGTCTATTACTGAATTTGAGTTAATTTTTGTACATATATGGACTGAGGTTAATTTGGGAGGAATATGGATAACCAGTTATTCCAGCACCATTGTTGTAAAAGCTATTTTGTCCTCCACTGAGTTGCTATTTCTGGGCTCTCTGTCCTTCCCAATACTGCACTGTCTTGATTACTTTAGCTTTATAAATAATAAGCTTATAACAAGTAATATTAATCCTTCAACTTTGATCTTCTTTTTCTATGGTTCTTTTAGTTCTTTTGCCTTCCCATGAAAATTTTACAATCGATTTGTTTAATTCTGCAAAATATTCTGCTGTGATTTTTTTAAAATTAGGATTGCACTGAATCTATAGTTTTGGGAGAATTGACATCTTAACAATATTGAGTCTTCCAATCCACAGACACAGTATATCTCGCTCTATTTACATCTCCTTTGATTTATTTCATCCGGGTTTTGTGGTTTTCAGCATAGAGATATTGCATATACTTTTAAAAAATTTATATTTAAGTATTTCATGGGTTTGGCATTATTTTAAATGGTTATTTTTAATATTTTAATTTCCAATTGTTCATTGATTATATGTAAATATACAATTGATGTTTGTAGATTGACCTTAAATTTTGCAACTTTGTTAAATTCACTTTTTGATTCTGGTAGTCTTTTGTATATTCTTTGGAATTTTCTATGTGAGTAATCATCCATGTAGAAATAGAGATAATTTCATTTCTTCCATTCCAATATGTACTCTATTTATTTATTTATTTACTTACTTATGCCTCATTGTACTGGTAGGACCTCCAGTACAATGTTGAATAGGAATGGGCCCTTTGTCAGGTTAAGGAAGTTCCCTTCTGTTCCCCTAGTTTGCTGAGTTCGTGAATTGGTGTTGAATTTTGTTAAATGCTCTTTCTGCATCTATTGAGATGATTATCAGGATTTTCTTTTCATCCTCTGATAGAGAATTTCATTGATTCATTTTTGAATTCTGAACCAGCCTTTCAATCCTATGATAAACAACTCTTCCTTATGATGTGTTAGCCTTTTTATGTATGGCTGGACTCGTTTGGCTACTAGGTTCTTGGGATTATCAGCGTGGAGTTTTACTTTTTTGTAAAGTCTTTACCTCCTTTTGTTGTCTGGTAGTGCTGGCATTATAAAAGGAGTTGCTCAGCTGTTCCTGATGCTACTAATGAACACTGGGGGCGGTGCTCAACTTCACACTTTCAGGAAGGGTGCTCAGGCCTTTGGGGAGGAGTCCAGGCAACCCAGTACAGGTGATAAGAGCCTTGAGTTCTTACTGAGCTTTAGAATCTTCATCATCCTGGGGAACATTTCATGAGTCCTGCAGGATCCTACTGTTGGCTCTTGAGCCCCAGATATGAAACGAGGAACACAGCTGCCCAGACGCCACGTCTCCGTTCCTCTGTTCCCGAAGACTTCAAGAATGTGTTTGACTGGAAAGCAGATGACCTTACCAGAAAACCCAAGCTCGTGGTGGGTGGGAAAATAATCGCCAAGAAGCACATGGTTTCCCAGCTGCATTACTGTTTTCCTTTCAAAGGTATTTTCACTTTGGTCTCTGAATTGAAATGCTGTCTACTAATGAGTTCAGGAGGGCTTATGTAAGGGGCTGATAGCATTGCATTCCCCATAATCAAAAGAACATATCTAGATCTTTTATAATCATACTGGAATCCATTTTTTACTAAGCTTTCACCAGAAACATCTGACTATTTCTTGATTTTATTTATTTAAAATAATTTTGGGGGGAGTAGTTAGGTTTATCTATTCATTACTTTTGGTGGAGGTACCAGGGATTGAACACAGGACCTGATGCCTACCACTGAGCTATACCCTCCCCTCTTGATTTTATTTTTAATAAACATCGTTTTGTTTGAATTAGGCAGATTCTAAAAAATCGTTTTTATCCAGGAATCTGAGCAGAAAGGTTGGCTTCTAAGTTTTACGGTAGCCTCATTGTTAATGTTTATGTTATGACAATGTTTATGAGTAAAGAGTGAATTCATTGTTTCTGAGTTTGACATCAGTGCTGGGACCAGTAAGGAATCTGTCCAAATTCCTCTCAGGTGGAATCTGGCTCTTCTTGGCAGCTGAGGTCATCCCCAGGACTCTGAGGGTGAAGTATTACTGATTCCTATGGAAGACAGTTGGCAGGAGCCCACGGCCGTGTTAAGAGAAACTTTGTCTTGCCCTGAAGCCCTCTGTCAATGAAAGGAAATTTGGGGGCCATTAACTGAACAGTTGCTAGAGTAAGAGTGATTTATGTGGTGATATTGGGAAGGAGTTCTGAAAGCTTGGGTTGCTGGGTCTGCTTTTCAAGTGGGTGATTTCAGGGTGGAAAAACAAGGAGTCTCATTCTAGGAAATACAGGGTTTTACTCAGAAACTTCTTTGAAAGGGAGTCCTGATTTAATTGCCAAAATGAAACTCAGGTGGGCGCTGCTCAGAATCCCACAGGTGTTTGATTTGTTTGTTGTGGGTTTTGAAATCCTGACTGGCAGGTAAACCTGGATGGAGGAAAAAGTCAGTACAAAATCTCTAAATTGCAACGAAAATAAACCTCATTTCTAAAAAGGAAAATAAATAAGAGCTGGGCACAGTTCCCTCCTATATCATGGGAAGAATTTTTGTAGATTTCGTAGATCTTTTTTTCAAATGTTTGGCAGGATTCACCATTAGAAGATTTCTGGGTGTGGAGTTTTCTTTGTGGGAAGAATTTTAAGAACAAATTCAATTTCCTTAATAGATATGGGAATATTCAAGTTTTCTGTTTTTTCTTAAGTGAGTTTTAACAGTTTGTATCTTTCAAGGAACTTGTCCATTTCATCTAAATTGTTGAATTTATGGCATAAGGGTTTTTGTGATACTCTTTTATTAACCTTAAAGGGTCTGTGGTGATGTTCCCTATTTCATTTCTAATATGAGTTATTTGTATCTTTATTTCCTTCTTGATCAATCTGGCAGAAATCCATCAATTTTTCTGATTCTTTCCAAGAAGCATTTTCTGATTTCATTGATTGTAATACTGTTTTTCTGTTCTTCATTTTATTGATTCCATTCTTTATCTCATCCTTCTACTTGCTTTGGGTTTCATTTGCTCCTTTTTTCCTAGTTTCTTAAGATGGAACCTTTAAATCAGGGGTTGGCAAACTAGTTTGCAGGACAAATCTGGCCTGCTGCCTGTTTTTGTAAATAAGTTTTATTGGAAAACAACCATAACCATTTGTTTTCTATAGCTGCCTTTATGCTAGCAGAGTTAAAGTGTTGTGACAGAGACCATATGTCCCACAAAGCCCCAAATATTTACTGTTTGACATTTTATAAGGCTGTTAATATTGCTCAGTCTCTGCTTCAGATAATTGATTTGAGATCTTTCCATTTTTAACATAAATATTTTACTGCTATGTATTTCTATTCAGGACTGCTTTATCTGTACTTCATAAATTATGGTATGTTGTGTTTTTATTCTCTTCCAATTCAAAATATTTTCTATTTTGTAGTTATGTAGACATGGGTTGTAAAATGTCCATATATTGGGGGATTTCCCAGATATCTTATCTTTCTGTCATTGATTTTTATAGATTACTTCTATTATCTTGTGAGAACATATTTTGTGTGAAAATTTGTTAAGATTTTTTTATGGCCTATTTGGCTCATCTTCCACGTGCACTTGAAAAGACTATTTGCTGTTCTTAGTTGGAGTGCTCTGTAAATGTTGACTAGGTCATTGGGTGGTGGTGGTGTTCAACTTCTCTCTCTATCCTCACTGATTTTTGTCAGTTACTTAGGAGTGTTGAAATATCCAACTATAATTGTGGATTTATTTATTTCTCTTTTCAGTTTTATTAGCTTTTGATTCATGTATTTTGAAGCTCTGTTAGGCATGTACACATTTAGGGCTGTCATGTCTTTTTTGTGAGTTGATTTCCCCCTTATCATATGTATTGCCCCCCTTTATTCATTATATAACCTTGATCTGAAATATCATTTGTCAGAAATTATTACAGCCACTACAGCTTTCTTTTGATTAGTGTTTGTATAACATGTGTTTTTTCATCCTTCCACCTTCCCCTGCCAGCAAGGTAACTTTTAGAACACATTAATCAACAGAATATAAGTACACAAACTAATTTTAAATAAAATCAATGCACCAGCAAGTAAGATAGAACACAAAAGTACCCATGCCTCACAATGAGATTATAATCAGATGGAGGAAGGCAGAAGTCTAAGTCAGAGCATGGAGGAGAGATGTACACAAGGGAGTAAGGACCCTGACAGGCTGAATTATCAAGACAGACTCAACTGATACCTTTAACTTCCAGATACCTTGGGCACTAATTGGTGGTCTGCGACAGGCATGATACTTGGTCACAAAGAACAACAGTAGATATCTGCTGTATCTGAAATGAGGAAGAAGTTCAGAATCCTGTAGAGATTGTGGACATTCAACTCTCAAATGATGAAGTGGAGTATATGAGGCTACTAGAACTTT